AGCAGCAAGCGCAGCCGCAAACGCTATACCATACGGCTCGGCCTCTCCCTCCACAATCCCCTCATACCTACCAATCGAAGACATCTACGTGGCACCGCAATACCAACCCCCAAACCCTGAAGACGAGGACGACGTCGTCCCAGACCAGCATGCGGCGTTCGGTATTACCCGCGCTATGGAGCGGAGACGGGATGCCGTGTGGCGCGATCTTGGTCTTGAGGCGCTCGTTAATGGCGAAGGACATGGCGCTGATGCCGGGCCTTTGACTGGTCCTGGAGGTGCTGGTGCTGCCGGGGCTGCGACCTCTGGGCCTGGGGCTACGCTGCGGGGTAGTGGGGGCGGTGCGGCGGCGGCCGGGGCGCCTGTTATTAGGGTCAAGGATTCTGGGCGGAGGATGGGTGGGCGGAGGGTTATTGGGTTGCGGTAATGGATGTCATGGTTTGCTGAAACATTTGCGGGGTTGCCTTTCACTAGGGTTGGTGCCGCGAGCTTTCTACCTACCTGTATAGGCAGGTAAATGGGTGTCTTGGGTTACTTGCATTTTTTTACTGGAGCTTATTTTTGGAGGGGGCCGGATAGCCTCGTTATGATACCCACGTTGGATGTATCCTTATATATCCTGAAGATCATTGATTCGTTTCCATTTTGCGATTTTGTTCCAAGAATCGCCAATATCAAATGGCTGCAGACCTGGTTTAGTCTGAGCTTTAACGCCGCGCGTAATGCGATATGATTATACATTCCCCTAGATACGATTGATGTCGACCCGAGCCCGCTCGTACAGCTTGTGGCCCAGCGCTTTCTGTTCGCGCTCGTCCTCTGCTACTAGTCGGGGGTGGACGGCCATCTGGGCATATGAGCCTGCGGCGCGACGCTTTGATAGGGTGCCTGGGTTGATGACTAGCACACTATCGACGACCTGCAGAAATAATAAGGTTAGCACCGTTGTGGTGGGAAGATAAAGCCTGGGGTAGGGATAACATACTTTTACGAATGGCGGCAGCATACTAGGCACAATTAAAATATCAGGCCGGACATTCCACCACTCGCCTAGTTTCATGTAGGGCAGGTCCACCATAGCACCTGTAGCCAGACTGCCTTCAGACCCGGGCCTGGGAAGATTTGACCGTGCAGTCGGAGGGAACAAGGGGAAGAAATGGCGTTGCTCGACGAGATATTTGGGCAGACGGGTGAGCAAGTTGCCCTCCGCGGGCCGACCATTCAATACCTCTTCGCGGCGAAGCTCGGAGAGCACATCGTGTGAGCACATTCCAATAACGCATTCGTTGAATGATAACGTGACGGGATTCGAGACAATGCGGACTTGCTTGGGCAGACCCAGCTCCTTCTTGGGAAGCTGCTCCTGGGGCCAGGAGACGTGTCGGCTGAGTGCATCGCGCACAGAGGGAACCATCACGATCGTGATGCTTGGGACAGCGGCTGCAAGTCGTGCTAATGGCACCGAGATACAGTGCCGGAACATTATGGACAGTGTAGCTGTGTCCGGGTCGAGGCCCTTGATATCTGGCAGATCAAAGTCGCCTGATGCAAGAAGAGGGTGCTCAATGTCCAGGAACGGTCCCATCAGCACCAGACTATCGGCGTAGCTTTCGGCTGCCTTCTGGCATAGTTCCTGCAATGGCTCGAAATCCAGGTTGTCGTCCGTTGTGTAGGGCCCGGCTGCAACCATGATATTCAGCGGTGGGTTTGCATCTCCGTCAAGTCGCTCGTTGATGTTGTCAAGTGTTACAGCTGAAGATGCCGCTGGTGGCAATAGAGGAACTGGGAGTACTTCCTTGACAGTGAAATATTCACCAGAGGGGTTGATTCCTCGGAGAGCAACGATTTGGCCTGGGAAGAAGTTCACTGAAGGTACGGAATCCACCTTCAGGGGAACTCGTCTGCCGGCTCCGGTGCGGCGCGAAGTCTCGAGTACGAGGGAAGCTGGGTTCAATTTCCCCTCGAGACTGTCAGAAGCAATACGTCCAACAGCAATGATCTCGCTTGTGCTCTGTATGGCTGCACTCCCGAATGTAATTTCTTCTGAATTAAATTCTGTCTGGAATATAGTCGCGAACTCGTCGATACGATCATCCAGAATTTCCGATGCTTCCGACAATTTCATGCCCATTGGCTTGTATCCAAACTTTTTGAGGTCCGTATTCGCGGTGGGCTTAATGCGTGGCTCGGAAAATGGCGCCATTGGGGTTTCTGGCAAGGATAGGTGCGCATTGAGGGTTTCCACCGTCTGCCCAGGGTTTGGTCGATCGGAGAAGGGAATTGCTCTGTTCCTGATGTCAGCATCTTCAATACATCGTGTAATCCCGAGAAACACATACTGCATTCCATCACCAGGTGTTCCAGTGGGTGTTTTTGTGCCGGCTTGTGATCCAAGCTTTTCGAACTTGCTGACTCTTGGTGTAGCGGGAGACGTGAATTCGGCTTTGCGCTTTGCGGATCCAAATCCATTCCCAGGTCGACCATTCGAGGTAGTTGGTGTCAATTGATCGAACATCCCAAACATATCACCACCAGCTGCGGCCGCGCCCCGCGGAGTTCCCGTGTTTGCGCTTCGTTTTTCTGTGTGACGGCCAGCCTTGTCACGGCTTTCACGCTCCAAAGCTTCTTGGACGTCTTGCTTAAAGCCTCGAACTGTTTGCATGGTTAAGGTCACCCCCTCGCCCATCTTTATGCTGTATGATTCCCATTTGTAGAAAAGCTCCTCCGCGGGGATCGAATGCACTCGCAGCATGGAGAGAAGCTCGGCAAGGATATCTTTGGGGATTCCATCGGGGAATGACCCCGCAAAAAACTCATTCAGCTCTCCCTCAGCGTCCATTGTTGCGAGATGTGTATCGTGGAAGGGCAATGGACATTGAAAGTGCAGATACGCGCAAGACGCGTGAGACCGTGTCGCTGACCTAAGCGGCCTAAAGCAGTAATATTATTCGAGCATTTGATGGGAGTGGACCTGTCGGTCGCAGGAATTGGTCAATTAATTGCCCCTAAATTTATTCTTCATTCTCTATATTTCCACGTGTCATTGTATAGTCTATAATTTAGATATCATCCAAGATCATGTCCGACTCTGAAAAAGGCGCCGCTGCGCATGCGCCCACCAATGGCGATACTGTGTCCAATACGAACATACAGACACCGGTCGAATCAGCCCCCGTGAACGCCGAGGCCGAGCCTACTTCAACCGCGAAGCCAATTGACCTTCAGTTACCGACCTCCGCCGCAGATGGCCTCATCCAGAAGCCTTTCGGTAAGCCGCTGGACACAGCCAAGCCAACAGCACCCGCGGAACTTACTCCGGAACAACAATCCAAGTACGAGGCTGTGTTGAAGTCTGCCTCATCATGGACCACGGTCGCTACCAAGGCCGAGAAGAATTCCCCGACGTCTCCCATAACCGAGGATGAGAAGATGTGGCTGACCCGCGACTGTCTCCTGCGCTACCTACGCGCGACCAAGTGGGATGTTTCTGAGGCGGAGACACGACTCCAGAGCACCCTCACATGGCGCCGCGAGTACGACTTGAAGAAATTAACACCTGAGTATATCTCAATTGAGAACGAAACAGGCAAGCAGGTCATTTTGGGCTATGATATCAACGGACGCCCATGTTTATATCTTTTGCCCTCCAACCAGAACACGGAGAAGAGTGACCGCCAGCTCGAGCATCTTGTCTTCATGCTGGAGCGGGCCATTGATCTCACGCCACCCGGCCAAGATACTCTTGCCCTAATTGTCAACTTCAAAGAGACAAAATCTGGCCAGAACGCAAGTCTGGGCCAGGCCAAGCAGACACTCGGCTTCTTGCAAAACCACTACCCCGAGAGACTTGGTCGGGCTCTGGTAATCAATGGTTAGTGATTTCATACTCCGGGTAATCTTATGACAAATTACTAATGTCCTATGATAGTGCCCTTCGTCATCTGGGGATTCTTCAAGTTGATCACACCCTTGATTGACCCCAATACTCGACAGAAGCTCAAGTTCAATGAGGACCTCCGTCAACACGTCCCACCTAGCCAACTCATGAAGGCTGTGGGTGGTGATGTCGAATTCCGCTACGACCATGCATCCTACTGGCCTACTTTGAACCAGCTGGCTGACCAGCGACGTGAGGCTTACCGTCAACGCTGGGTTCAGGGTGGTAAGCAGATCGGCGAGTTCGAGAACTACCTGAAGGGCGAGAATGTTCCCAGCCTGTCTCAGATCCGGGTTGAGGCCAAGGCTAGTGAACAGGCTTGAAGGGGAGAGCATCTCATTTTGCGCCTGTTTTGGTATATTTGTCATTTTTGGTCGCCATATAATTTTTTCTTTTCTATTGGTCAATAGCCGGCATTTTCTCACAGCGCTGGGGTGATTTACTGTTGGATTCTTTTACATATACCGCTCTGTTTCGAGACACCTGTTTATAGACATGTCAATCCTTGTCAATACTTAAGTGATAGAGTACCGAATTAATTATAGTTCTTAATCTTTCTTATTCGCTCTTCCTTGTTTCCGATTCACATACAAGCCAATCTAGATGATGGCTTTGGAGAGATGATATAAATATAGTGATTGATATTGTGTTGAGGCCCACACCTAAGTTGAGGACTATGTTAGGGGTAGTAAATGTCGAAATCATAGCCCAGCAACAAAATATAAGCTAAGACCCATGATGGCACCGGATCTAAGCGAATCACCGAACGTGCGAAGGAAAAGGCCTTGGAGCAAGCGATTTATCTAATGTGAAAACCAACACCTTCATAGTACCTATTAATTATTTATAGAGCAGAACCAGTTGGAACGTAAAATAGATCATTGTGACATAACGCTAAAAGTAAACAGTAATAACTAGATGCAGTCGACGTCTCTCTATATTTGCAATCCCAACATCAGCACCTCTCATCCTTCTTCTCTTCTATCAGATACCGTACCCCAGACTAACCCTTTTCACCAAGCGCCAACGAACTAGCGCCATTGTATCCTTTGAATAATGGATATCACCATTCGAATTCCTGGGTTGTAATGTTAGCCAAGTTTCTCTTTGGTGGGACTTTCATTAGCTTACCTCAGTGTAGAGTGTTATGGATGGTCCGCCGTTGAGTAACTCGTTGTTAACAGCTTCCCGTGTTGTACTCATAAGGTCACTAGGACCACAAGCACCAACAATGACGCGGTCATCCAAGTTGCCGCTTCCAGTGGCAGCAGCCGCGATCAAGTTGCCCATGTTCGGGCGTCCTGACAGCATCTGGTTGACCGAAGAAGAAACATTGTCTGTGGACTGTTGCTCAACGCCTTTCTCAGGGTCATTCGTTGAAAACACCAGAGAGGGTTCTGCTGGGACTACATCATCCTTCACAGGTACCTTTTCCGACAAAGAGTCTGGGGATGTGGGTGAGGATGTGCCGGACAGGTCATTCTGGCGGGTGACATAAATCTGTACATTCACTTCTGGATGGGACTGAAGTTGTTTGAGCTCTTGGGCAAACCATTCGAGGCTCTCTGTGGGACAGGATTAGTTGATAAGTATATAAACATTGCTTCCTTGTCAACCTTTAACGTACCTTGGTGTCTCACTATCCAAATAAAGTCGATCGACTTCACTACCTTCTTAGATGTCTCGATCAGGTCTAGTGCAATGGCAAATGTGAAGCTGGCACCACTACCACCGGCAACAAGAACGACTTTGTCAAACACTTTGAAGTTGGGGACTTGACCATATGCACCGTCGACGGAACAGCGTAGAGATTTGTGAGGGGAAGCCTGGGCAGCTTTATATAAATCCCGCGTAAAGCCATCGTACACTCGAATCACAAACTCAGACGGGTTTGAAGACAACAGAGTGAACGGATGGCTTTCAACCCAGCGGATGGCAGGAACCCACAAGAACGCATGGGAACCTGGAGTGCAGTGCATGCGACGGCTGAGTTTCACCCGAATAGCATTGTCGGGCAAAGCAGTGACAGTGAGGGAATTTCCGAAGAAGTTCCAGAGTATCTTTGCGCTGCGGATGATGCGGTCCATGACCCAAAGACAAGCAGTGAAAATGACGATAATCACTGAGTGAGTTGAAAATTTCGGACGGTGCATTCCGACTGTGATCATAATCAAAATGAACATAATTATGTGCAGCATATAGAAGACTGTAGATGTTAGAAGTCAAAACTATCGTAGGATATGAAGGAATGACCCACACTCATAATACCCCCGCATGAAGTATGTGATAGTTGAAAAGCCAATGATGACCATAGCGAAACCAGCAATTGCACCGGCAAAATTGTCCACTTCCTCCATTTTGGACAAGCTCCCACTCAGTGACCAGGCAGATAGATACACAATAGCGTGTATAACACTTGTGAAGATGCAAGTGTAACCGGCAACCTTGTGTAGCGGGCGGAGCTTTTCATAGGATGTGGCTGTCAAGGGCGCGACAGGCGTATTCTTCAAGGCTAAGAAGACTAAAAGCACCAGGTTTGCGACTGAAATCCTGTTTATTGACATTTGTCAGTTTCTATACCGCAGGAACAGAATGTATTTGGAACACGTACCAGCCAAGTCGTTTAGCAACCTAGGGGTTTGTCAGTAAAAGCATATACCAAGGCCAGAGAATGAACGAGGTTAGCTTACATAGGTGATATTTGTAACGTCAATATTTGTCAAAGTGAGAATCAAGTTGACAGCCCAGTAGATTATATACAGGATAGAACGGTCTGTCCTTAACCCCATCGTTGAACTAGAAAGAAAGCATCTGACTTGTCTGTTCGATTCAGATAATGAGTGTTATTCTTAGCCCATAGTAGCAATGAACATACCTAAGCTTCCTAGTCAACGTAGGATGATTCTTCCTTCGGCCATAATGAAAGTGAATCACACTTGACCAGTGATATATGGCAAAAAGAACCATGATTGCCCCCATAGAGATAGCGAAATACTTATTACTCCACACATTGTTAGACAGGCGCAATGCCTTGTCGGCAGCCTTTGCAGCAGCCTTTGCAGCCTTTTCAGCTTTGGGGTCACTCATCCTAACGGTTGTAGATAGACTCAACGTGGAAGCTTGAAAGGAAAGTCTCGAGTATCAACACAACCTGACCGGGAGGTCAATTATTAATCTTACTTCCTCTCATTGGAACTACACCGGGGAAATTTGTGCCAAGAGCAAGAGGATGAACATGGCTCCACTGTTGCCCAGTATACGTACTCGGTATACTTCCGTGTTTCATAGGTTAAAGACTACGTCAAGCGGAGCATTGCCTATACCGTAATGTCCCGAGGATGGTTCTTATTCCTAATTAGGAAATATAACTAGAATATCATCTGCAGCGTACAAATGCTGGTAGAAAGGTAGAATGGAGATACCAAAAACGGTTGGAGCACTGTTTTTTTTCCCACCAACCCCAAACAACTAAAACCATTCACTACCGGTTATTCTACGGTTCTTCAACGGTTCTTCAGCGGTCCTTCAGCGGTCTTCAGCGGTTGCTCAGCGGATATTTAGCGGACGTTTAGCGGTGGTTTAGCGGTGGTCCAGCTGTAGATCTGTTGTCAGTAGGCCTGTACAGAACAAAGAGCTAATTAATAGTTGCTATATATTCAGCGGTTGCCCAACCGTTTTCTGTGTCCCTTCCGGTAATGTATGTAGTTACTCTTCCCACGTTCTGATAGGGCTGGAATGAAAGATATGTACGCCTCGGTCATTGGGCAACATCAAGTCTTGGCATTTCATGCGTTCTCACCAACCAAGAGACTACCCGGGCGATGTGAAGTGAATTGCGAGTCACATTGGCCGTAAAAGCCGTGAAAATTTTTCATCGTGTGCCTAGATGCCATAAACGGTGGGGGCATCCATGGGTATGAAAAGTCAAAATTTAAATTCATCTAATCAATCAGATAAACGGCTTTCTGGCATCTGATTAAAATTGCCGCCGATGATTTACCTAGGTAATTTCCTATCTTTCCATGGAAATTTTGGTGGCGTTAAGTTGTTGAACACGGAGATAAAGGGTCAGCAGTGTGCATATGTAACCCTTGGCATGGCAGAGTATATTATTTTCACGCAGAAGGCTATATAAACCTGCTAGCTGACAGTAGTAAAGTCACAAACTGTAGAATAACATAGTCGGGATGATTTCCCTGGGATACAAACTATCGAATTGACGCATGGGACCCTATGCAGTGAATGGAAACTCGATGTGTACAGGTTGAACTGAGGCTCTGAATTACAGGGTCCGAGATAGACAAATTTTTCATTCATTTCCGAATTGGTTGAGCGGGGACGTACGTAAAGCCACTGTATTATGATAAGATTATCAATCAGTTAAATACTAACCTTGGAATAATCCACATGTCTTGTACTAGTGTGGGGCAGGAAATTCCACAATGTAGGTTGGTTCCCTGTGAGAAATAACACTATGGGTTGATGTTTTGGATCCTTCACTTGGCTGGTCAAGTTGTGGGGAAAATTCATGTTTTCAGAGAGGAATTCATGAGACTATCTGCTCCCAAAAAGCCTTGTAGTAGAGAAAAAATTTGGACCACGTTTTGACCCATGGAACGTATACATGTACAAAGTTCCGGTAGGTAGGTGTATGGATTTGGCTGCTCCGGCGGGGAAATACACGCTCTATCCACTGAGACACTAAGATTTCGGAAGACCCTGCATGAAAGCTTAGTGCCGCTTGGCAGAAACGGTATAAATTACCACTTCGTATCTGAAAATAATTCATAATATGTAATTCAAAATATTTCAAGGTTTTTTTAATTTACAAAAATTAAACCTTAGAAAAAGCTTCTCGTTTTCGTTTCCCCCGGTGGCCCTCTCACCCAATGACCCTGCGTTTGCCCACTGGCCCCGCTGCAGTCTCTCCTCTCACTCATACCTATAATCTCCTCCGATATTGGAACCGATCTATCCGTCTCGACTGATTAAATCTAAAGGGCTGAAACACCAGTCTCTACACGTTTCTCTGAAACGGGGACGGTCGTATCAACGGGTGCTGGTATCTCCACGGGTGCTGTCGGATCTTCATAGGGACGGCGGAGGATGAAAGCCCTAGCTCTAGCCTTGGCTCTTGCGACTTTGTTCATAGCCGGGTCAATGACAGGAATAGCTCCGCGCTTCTCGCGGTAAAACATCAGCCCGTAGCCGATCATGACACAGATCCAGTACAAGTTGTATGCGATCACGGAGCCATAGTCGGCGGAATTGGTCCAACCAAGAAGCGCGTTGAAGATACCCCAACCGCCGCCACCTCCTAGCTCCGGGTTACAGCAGTTCACGTGCCAGACACTCTGACGAATGTCATAGGACCCGGCACCAGAGCCAGTCTCCGACGCGTCGCCTCCGATAATATGGTTCCAGGCATTGTTCTCCAAGTACCAGACACCACGCGAGAAAAGACCGGCGGCAACGAGGTAGAGGAAGCAAGTGGAGATGATCAAGAATATCTGCATCGAAGTCTGTCGTCCACCTCTGTCGGTGTGTTAGCGCCATATCTTTCTCAAAAGGCAATTGAATCCACATACCGGTAGATAATATAGCCCACTACAATACCGGCCAGAAGACCGCAGACGACGGCCAAGGGGAAGGAAGTGGCAGGAAGCCCTAATCCAACACCACCGACATAGACAACGGCCTCGAGACCCTCACGGAGAACGGTGATAAATGGCAGGATAAACATAGCATATTTCTCCAACCATCTCTTGACGCGACCTTTCTTTGTCTCATTTGGATCATGCTCGGTTTGGAGTGCCTTGGCGAGTTTGACACGCCATTTATCCTGAAGTTTAGACACGCGCAGCAGGGCCGCACCCATAATCGTGATAATGATTGATGCGATGATTCCCAACACACCCTCCCAGATATCCTCAGTACTGGAGAAAGTATCTGTTCCGAGGCCGTAGAAACCACCGATCATGCCTGCGCCGACTGCAAGACAAATAAATAGTCCTAAGCCGCATCCCAGCCAAACCTGTTTCCTTTTAGCCCATGAACTTGAATGGCATTGTGGGAGTCGGCCACGCATACTTGTTTCACCAGTCTTTTATATGTCGGGCGATCACTCTCGTAGAGCGACTGCTTCAAGAAAGCCAGTAGAACTGACACAACCACCGTTGTCTCGAGACATTCTCGAAAACAAATAAAAAACACTGAACCGAGTTGATAAGCAATTGTGTTTTCCAAAAAAGCAGTGCATGAACTATACCGGTGACAGCAAAAACCTTGTTGCTACCCATGACGCTTGAAATGTATGACTTTGAAGGAGAAGAGATTCAAAGAATCAAGTCGCTAGAAAGTCAAGAAGCACCTGGATAAGGCCGCTTGTAACCCGGTTACCGAAACATATTCTCTGGTATTGTTGGAAATTCAAAATTCAAAAATTACATGGGCTATGACCTCGTGAACAAGCGTTTGACGACCCACTCTGTATTTATCCGATTGAGCTTGGCTTCTTGTAAGCTCACCCGTATCCGTATCGGAAGCTTTTCTCGAGCGTTTAGCACTATGATTGGCGGTAGTGGATATGTCTTAAAACTTGTACCATCACATGGTCGAGGATTCAGCCACTTGAGTTCTGAACTCGTAAATATACCCCGCCAGAAGAGATAACGATCATACCATGTTATCCCAATTTGGTAGGTGAGCACAGGTTCGTGACTCCTTGATTCGCCTACGATTGATAAAGCAAACCCCATTTCGCATTATGACTCTCCTCCACCAGGGTACACCTGGAATTGAACCAATGGAAAACTGACAACCCCCCCACGTGTGTATACAATAGACTTCCAGGATACATCTGATTAGGATGAAAATTCCTTCCAGGGTTCCAAGGTTCCCCACCTAGGCACGGTCGGAAGAAGATTGATTAAGATATTCGGGAAGGATTAACTTTCCACTTATCAATCTTGTACTACGCTAGCATTGTTACAAGCTTCCGTTCCAAAGCTACCTAGTCTTTTTGTTCGCCCTCTCTTTTCGTTGGGAATCTGGAAATTCTTCTCCTACTTCCTCCCTGGCAAAACCAGGCGAATTCTCAAAGCATGGCTATTTTTCATGGAATGCTGATTCGCCTTGCGGCAGTACTACTTCTTGTGCAGTACTGTCAAGCAAAGACGGTGAATCTGGATTTCAATGTCACTTGGGTCAATGCAAACCCTGATGGCCTCCATGAGCGAAAGGTGGTGGGTATTAATGGCCAGTGGCCACTACCTGTCATTGAGGTGGACAAGGGCGATCGCCTGATTGTCAATATGTATAACGGGCTTGGAGACAAGGAGACTTCCATCCATTGGCACGGCATGTTCCAAAATGGTACCAATAATATGGATGGTCCGTCGATGGTTACTCAATGTCCAGTCGCTCCTGGTTCCTCCATTACCTACAACTTCACCATCCCCCAAAATGGTACTTACTGGTACCACTGTCATACCGACGCCTGCTACCCGGATGGTTATCGACAGGCTCTGATTGTGCACGATAAGGACGCATATTTCAACGACATGTATGACCATGAAGTTACCGTTACGATGAGTGATTGGTACCATGAGCTTGTTGAGGACATTCCGTTTATTCGCGTTGAAAACCCAACGGGAGCTGAGCCTGTTCCAGATGCCTTCCTCTTCAATGACACATTGAATACAAACATTCCTGTCGAAGCCGGAAAAACCTATCTGATGCGATTGATCAATATCGGTGCCTTTGTGGCGCAGTATTTCTACATCGAAGATCACACTTTCCGCATTGTTGAAATTGATGGAGTATACGTTGACGCACAAGAGGCCGATACACTTTATATTGCCGTTGCGCAACGTTATGCCATCCTGGTCACCATGAAAAACTCGACGGATAAAAACTATCCGATCGTGACGGTTGCCGACTCGCTTTTACTGGATGTAATCGAGCCTTCTCTCCAACTAAATCAAACCAATTGGCTCGAGTACAATAGCAGTGCGGCGCACCCGCAAGCTGTGATGACGGTAGACATTTCCTCCGACCTTGTTCCATACGATGACATGAAGCTTGTTGCTCACGATCGGATGGAGCTCCTCCCAGACCCTGATATGATCGTCCAGGTCGATGTCATCATGGACAACCTGAACAATGGTGCAGGTTATGCATTCTTCAACAATATCTCCTACACGATGCCTAAGGTCCCGACATTGTACACAGTCCTCACATCCGGGGAATACGCTACAAACCCGGCGGTCTACGGAGAATACACACATCCGTTCATTTTCGAGCACAACGCTGTCATTGAGGTTGTCCTCAATAACCTGGACGGCGGTTCGCACCCCTTCCATTTGCACGGGCACAACTTCCAACTCGTCAGTCGCACTCCGTCATATGGTCCTTCTTTCAATGACTACGCCGACGGTGACCCACTCCCTTACAATGCCACCGAGAATCCCTCCAGCAGCTTCCCAAAATACCCTGCTCGCCGTGATACCTTTGTCGCACCACCCCAGGGTAACTTTGTTGTCCGATTCGTTGCCGATAACCCTGGTGTTTGGTTGTTCCACTGCCACATCGATTGGCATATGTCACAGGGCTTGGCGATGTCATTCATCGAAGCCCCAAAGCAGCTCCAACAGCAATTGTCGCTGACGGAGAGCGAAATCAACATCTGCAAAGCTGCCAACATGTCCTACGAGGGAAATGCTGCCGCTAACACGGAAGATCTGCTCGACCTAACCGGTGAAAACAAGCAGCTTCCGTGGCTACCTGCCGGATTCACGGCGAAGGGAATTGTCGCAATGGTTTTCTCTTGTGTATCCGCTTTCCTTGGCATGGCGTTCATCACCGTCTACGGTATCTCAGGCATTCAAAAACCGAAGGAGGAAACTGCTGTGATTACCGAGCGTGAGGGATTGTGAGTTCCTTTTGGGTTTTTGGTGTACTTTAATCTATATATTTATCTCGCTTGAGCGGATATACATTTGCATTTTGAAATTTATCTGCTGGTTATGAACTCTTGCCGCACGTGGAATATAAAAAAGCCCATTTTGAATATATATATTGATTACTATGTTCCAATTTTGTAATTTGTGTCATATTAGATACAATATTGCCATTATTCCCAGGACACTCATGCCAAACAAGAATAAAACGGTTTAATCCTGTTATACCTCCGATGCCAGACAACACATCAGCCGATAAGTATTTTATAGACTAAGTTTAGCTAATGAATAGCAATTGTTAATCCCGGTCCTATATAATGAGATCTACAGTGTTCTTCCCTGTCTTTTCCAATTCTAATGTTTGTCTTGCATTCCTTCTCCCCGGTTTTCGGGCGTATGTTGAGGTTGAGGTAAATCATGCGTTGTATAATGTACCTATAACCAAACCTGTATTCTCTAACTCGTTAGCAATAAGATATATCTTTGGTACATCTTCCCTAGAGGGGAGGTTACTGGAGAAGAGAGGAGAAGACATCTGGCCGTAGCCAAGGAAACCTCTCTATCTCCAATATTGATTTCAAAATTATAGCTAGAGAGTAGAGATGGAGGTGTCTTAACGATCATATCTAGATCTAAGCAACGAGGGGAAAGTTGGCTACATCAAGTGCGAGCATATTGACTAGGCGAACTGTATGTCGTAATATATTTCACAGTGAGCTCCCATTTCCGAAACACATAGTAAATGCGATAAATTAAAACTTGAAATCTCAACAACGGTAGTCTATAGGAACTTTTCTTTCTAGCTTGATGTTGTCTATGTGATATCTGGTCACTTTAGGGAGGCTCGAGAAAGTTAATGATTTGTTGACTGAGATATATATATTTTTAGAGTTTGGCATCTAAATTTCCAACTTCATGACAAACAATTAAGTGCATTGCCAGACTTGCAGCATCTGTTGGTACCCGAATACTTTCTTGAAGTCGCTCAACTAATACCACCCTTGGGTGGCCACTATATTCTGCAGAATCAAAACAGGGGCCTTCCCACGAGCACTATCCGTTTATCCCTCTTTGGCTAGACAGGCTCGCAAATTCTTACCAAATCGTTTGATTAAAAAACGAGTAGCACACTACAAGATGAGCAAAGACAAGGTAACACATCGTCTTGCGACTAAGACGTCTTGGCCTGACTTTATGTCATACATTCTGAGATACAACGATGAACGCGGTATGCAAATTCCAGAAATCGAGGTCAATGCTGGAATCATTATTCAGGCTGGTAGTGAAACCACAGCGACAGTTCTGGCGACTTGCCTTTTTTTTACCCACAGAAGCACCCACAATGCTGGCAAAGAAGTATTGCGGAGGTGCGATCGGCTTTCAAAACGGATTTTCACTGTATTAGTAGCCCATATAGGTTCCTGTATCTGTGCCGCACTATTCTACCTTCCGTGGATACACAAATTTTGTCAAGCCGGATTCCTTCCTGCCAGAACGGTGGCTTGGGGGCATTGAAAAGGAAAGTCTATTTCCCTCCGACCGGCGTGATGCATTGCAACCGTTCTCTTTTGAGCCTCGCGGGTGTATTGGACGAAAGTAAGTTCTTTTATAGAAGCTTGCTATTCTCTCTTTCGCGAACAAACTTTCTGACCTAGTTTATTGTTAGTTTTGCGTATGCGGGAATGCGTACTGTGTTATCCAAGATACTTTTGCATTTCGATGTCTCTCTGCAACCCGAGTCAGACAAATGGGATAATGCGAGGAGCTTTGTTGTATGGGAGAAAGGACCGTTGTTTGTTCGCTTGAGCGACGTGAAGAGTGAAAGCTCTATTTAGCTCCGCAATAATTACGGTAATTGCGGACGCCTGGGCTTCCAGAGACCATAAAGGTTCTGCGAAATTATTCTCATGGCCCGAGAGGATCGAAGCCACAGTTCAGCATGTTTTCATTGTCAAAAGGCCACCAAGGCTGTTAGATTAAAGACTTAAATCCCAGGCGGTTATGAGAAAAATATTTGAAGTATACGATTATAATGATAGAATATCGTTATAATCAGCATCATTTGTTACTCTTCTCTACGCGTCCGCTTTCGCCATCTCAGTCACCGCGGCCACTTTCGTCGATGTTGCTATAAGATCATGTCGTAGGCTTATAAGTACAGTATTTAAAATATTATCTATTGCCGCTCGGATATATTAGACAGCGCTGATTAGGCGTAAATTCTCATTGTAAAACCGCGTATCTTTGTTATCCTTACGAGAGTGCTTATGGGTTATACAGACTGCTTCCGGTAGGTCGTTCGGATTGACTGGTACTTGGTCCGTTATGCGCTATCCTCTATGCTTATGAGCTTTAAAGGTGATTGTAATTATATAGGTAGGAGGGTTTCGGTGTGGGCGTAGCGTTTCCGGTAGAGGTATAATTGCGAATTTCCCTATACTTAGGGCTAAGGTAGGAGCCTCTCGCGAGTCGCTCTTATATTCTCGTTCTTTTTTATTGGTCTCTCGGTCATGTTCTGTGGGCCCCTGGGGCTTAGAGAATACTCGTGCTATACCATAGTGGCTCGTTTGGAACTCTATCTATTCTCGTTGGCTAGGACCGCCCCTCTTCTGTGTTTCCTACTATAATCCAGAGCGCTGCCGGCTGAAGCGGGGCTGTAGATTAACCTATGCTGAGGTCTAAGGTGATAGGCTTATATAAATCGCTTATATATACGCGAGGTTCTATGTTCTCTGCCTCCTGTTTATGGTTCGACGATTCTCCGTCACTAAAAGGTGATGATATTGTAGCCTGACCGATAGTTGAAAATAAAATCTCACACAAGTCGAGTTTCAGATGGGCTCAAGTTGATTGGTTTAGATATCATCGAGGTGGCACCGACCTACGATACCGATGCGGAGCTGTCGACTATGTACGTTCTTCCTTTGTGGTGCTTTCTTTGTATACGTCTTTTCAAAAACCGGGTCAAACAGGCCAACTCATTTTTCTTTTTAGAGCTGTCGCAGATGCTTTGTGTGAGGTACATATCATTATGGCGAAGAAGGGCTCATTGTCTATTGGGGAGAAATCTGGTAAATACCCATAGTAGTATAAAGGAAAAAGTATTTAAGAATGGACGGACATCCAGGATTTGAAACCTTCCATGTCAGGTTGTGAACAAAGAAATTTGTTGGTTGTTATGGTGTTCTGTGGACAAGTAACAAGTGTTAGGGTTCGGGTTCTAGCATATGCAATGCAATGCAACAGGCTTTATTAGCCCAGAAATTTGGGGGGAAGCCATCGGCGATCCTTCAACGGTTTCTCTGATAATAGTGGACCTCTTTTCGAATTCAATCCAGGAACCAAAGTCAAAAAAGTCCCAAATATGACATTTGTGTACCCCTTGTTTCAGCGCAATTTCCACGTGGATGGCAAAAATGGAAGACTCAATATGTCGGGTTCGGGATACGTTAGGGCCAATTATAGAGCACCGCAGCTGAATAATGGGTTCTTAGATAAATGGTTCAAGCTTTTAGGCATTTTACTTGGTCCGGAGTACATAGACGGAGTCAAACCCGTTTCATATTGCGGACAGTGGACGTCAAGCGATGAACCTCCGACTCCGCATCACGGTCAATTGGAGTGGATCCCGGTTGCCAACGAACTACCGGATTGGTTTGGCTGGCCCGTCTCTGACACGATTAGGCTCCATCTGGAAGTGAACACGCAGCGATCGGCGCCCAGAGACCCATGAAGATGGCCGATTGGGAGGATTGAAGGGAAATTTGAGCCTGGATGGTTCCTTTTCCCCCAACTGTTGTACCCTGTTGGAGCTAAAAAGTAAACTTGAAACGAACGGACACAACGTGGAGGTTCGAGACACTCGGCCTTTTTTTTTTTTTTTAATTTATTCTCAGTGGAGATAAGAGCTTTGAAAGGCATAAGGTATATTTTTGCTAGTTCGCATCGGAAGACCCGATGTAAGGCAAGAGACTATTGAACCATGTGCCCGGAGTATTTACAGAAAAGGAGATAATTCCCAGGTTAATATAGTAATATGGTGTTCTAGGTAACCCCCTTCCCCTACCGTATATTGTATAAAGAAAAAAAATCAGTTAAACCTTGGTTGACAAGTACGGAGTACTCTGTAAGTACATTCTATTGGATAGTCCCGATGTCAACCCCTGAACCAAAAAAAAAAAAAGAGACAACTTCCCCCTTGGAAAAGATACAATTGTCCTTCATCTTAAATTAAAACGCTAAACTATTCTAAGCTGGTGCACGGTCAATCACTCCATCCATCTTTTGTTATTTTGTTATTTTGTCATATTATCATATTGTCATATTCTACCTCCCTACTTTCTCCTGCACATACAGAAGGGGACTGGGGACTAACAGGTACGCGTTGTGTTGTGTCGTGTTCTTATCGATACGAAAAAGAAAAAAGAAGGGAGAGACTGACACTTCCCTCTCCACATTCCAGACATCTCCTTATTCTGCGCCTCATGACTACGTCTATCGATTAACACTTCGATTTCCTTTTATTTCTATTCCACCTGGTGTGGTTCTCTTGGGGATATTAGGGAGAGAAATGACCGTCTCACCGCCAGGATCGCCCACTGGCGCACCCCCGCGTCCCATCAGCGCCGTTATGCGCACTCCGCGTAGTACCAGTCGTTTAAGTATGAGCAGCAGGCAGGGTGGAAGTCGTGCATCTGATGAAGATGGCAAGACTGCAGTTAAAGTTGGTATGTGGATTCTTTGGATACTTCCCCTGATCGCTCAATTCCATGGTTACCCGATACCTTGCAATCAAAGAAAACACAACATCAGCCAGCAACTAAATTCATCACTGACCGAGCGCAGCTGTCCGTGTGCGACCACCACTGAAACCAACCGATCCCGGGTATGACTTGATTCCTCAGCGATTCCAGAAGTCCACAGTCCAAGTCACCGCCCCAACTAGTCTGGCCGTCGATGTGTCCGCTGGGCGCAAACTATTTGTGTTTGATCGGGTTTTTCCCGAAACTACCGAACAGGAGGGCGTCTGGGAATACGTCAGCGATAGTGTAGACTCATTCGTTCAGGGATACAATGTCTCCATTATGGCATATGGACAGTCCGGTGCGGGAAAGTCCTTCACAATGGGTACCTCGGCTCCCATTGACCAGAATAACACGCAGGATATGGGTGAGTTTGAAAGAAGCTGGTTTACCAATCAACCTGGGAACTAACCGTGTGTGTTCATCTGGATTTAGGTATCATCCCCCGTGCTGCGCAAGTCTTGTTCGATAAATTAGAAGGCCCCTCAAAACATAATCGGACTGGGTCGCACTCGACTACTGGCCTCCGAACGCCCCAACGATATTCAATGTCTTCCGCCGCAAGCTTTGGGAAGTTGAATCAGGAAAAAGATAAGACCTGGCAGCTGAAAGCTACATATGTGGAGGTGCGCTTTTATTCTGTTATCTTGTTTTTGAGGAAACTGCCGGCATGACATTGTTCTAACTGTTGTTCCCCAGATCTATAATGAACACCTGAGAGATTTGCTCCTTCCCGAATCGACCGCCGCAAACGACCGCAGCAACGTGACGATTCGTGAAGATACCAAGGGCCGCATCATTTTGACCGGGTTGCACCAAGTTAATATTAACTCATTTGAAGATTTGATCGGTGCCCTGAACTTTGGCTCGACCATTCGTCAGACAGACTCCACCGCAATCAACGCCAAATCATCTCGGTCGCATGCCGTCTTCAGCTTGAACCTTGTGCAGCGCAAGTCTTCACCAAATCACGCAACCCCGAGCCCCATAAAGGAGAAGCGCATGTCGATGCCAGTCGACACGTTCCACGCCGGGGAATCAATAACTGTTGATAGCAAACTGCACTTTGTGGACCTGGCGGGAAGCGAGCGGCTGAAGAACACTGGTGCCTCCGGGGAACGCGCGAAGGAGGGTATCTCTATCAACGCGGGTTTGGCTGCACTCGGAAAAGTCATCTCTCAACTCTCGTCACGCCAGCACGGCTCTCACGTCTCCTATCGTGACTCAAAGCTTACCCGACTACTCCAGGATTCACTCGGTGGAAGCGCTTACACGTACATGATTGCTTGTGTCACTCCCGCCGAGTTCCACCTCAGCGAGACTTTGAACACAATCTCATATGCTCAACGAGCCCGAGCTATTCAGAGCAAACCCCACATTCAACAAGTTGCAGACGACGGCGACAAGCAGGCGTTGATTGAGCGGCTCAAGTCCGAGATATCTTTCTTGCGCCTACAGATCCGCAACTCTGAGGGATCCGAGCGACGTGAAGGAGGATCCACCGAACGAAGTGAACGCAAGAACGAACGTGAAAAGCACTTGCAAAATCAGCTGTTGGATATCCAAGAAAGCTACAATTCTCTCAGCCAGCGCCACGCCAAGCTGATTTCGAATATGGCCAATGATTCGGAGTCGCATCCCAACGGCGAAATGGACGATGCAACCTCCGAAATTGGGAAGAACTCCGTTGAGAGAATGCAGCGGTCCAAGTCATTTGCCGAGTCTGTGGAGCAGATGGTTCTAGAGTACGAAAAGACTATCCAAAGCCTGGAGTCTTCGCTCTCTGAAACACGCGCCTCCCTCTCTATCACGGAGAGTGATTTACTCGAGCGTGAAACCAAGTGCGCCTATATCGAGACTGTCAAGGAACAGCTTCAGGCCCGTGTGCAGAAGCTGACGGACCGGGAACTCAACACTGAAAACTACCTCCACGAATTGGAGTCTAAGCTTGATGGCCACTCTACAGGCGAAGAGAAGCACGCTGCTATTGTTGCTGAATTGCGCAAAGAATTGAGCCGGGCCCGTGACAGCGAAGCCAGCTGCGAGGAATACATATCGACTCTTGAGGAACGACTTGCAGAGGGTGACCAGGACATGGAACTTATGCAGCGCGAGGTGATGCGTTTGGAACATGTGATTGAGCGGCAGCGAGGCCTCGGCCAGCTAGATCGCCTACTCGGCGAGCTAGACCAACAAGATGGTGGAGATAAACACGACAGTGCCAACGGCAATGACTACCCACACTATCCCCAGCCCAGGAGTATTCAGGCCTCTCATAGACACACGCCCTCTCTGGACGTTCTCAGCGAAGCAGTTGAGACAGCCATTCCGGAATCAGACGAGGATCTTGTCGAGCCGACCATCGAGGCCGAGCTTGAATCCATTGGAGAATCCGAGCATGAAACGGGTGAGGACTTGAAGGTCTTGGAAACCATGACCAGCAAGCTGGAGGCACGTCGCTCGGAGGCTCTTCGTGAGGAACCCCTCGCAAGTCCCGCCCAGTCCAAGTTCGTTGCCGACAAGCTTGAGACTGTCACCCAGGAGCTTTTCGACCTACGCCTGCAGCATGAGAACACCCTTGGTGACTTTGAGAATCTCGAATCCAAGTACGAGCAGGTTCTCAAGGCCCTTGAAGAGCTTCGCCAGGATAAAATTGACGAAGCCCGCCACCCGGCACCCGACGTCCAAAACGAACTTTCGCCGCGCCCGGTGACTTTTTTAGGGAATGGAGGCACTCCGACCTCGAAGGCTGGACCACAACACTCATCCTCGCAATCACTCTCCTCGGAATTATCCTCGGTCGAGGAGCAATCCACTTTGCGCGCATCCTATGAGGACGGATCGAAGGCAACTTCGTCCGCACCCTCAACCCCGCAGGTGCTGTCGACCCGTCAGGTGGACTCCGAAGAGTCCGAAAGCATGCGCAAGATGCTCGCCGAACATCAGGAGAGTGCCGAGCTCATGGCCCAGAAATATAATGAGTTGCAAAACGAGCATGAAGAGATTCTTGGACTGGTCGAAAAGCTGAAGGCCGAGGCTCAACGCGCCAAGTCTAGCTCACCCCCTGCAACCCCCGGTTTCAAAATGATCCGCCGCATGACTAGCCAGAACATTCTGTCAGGGGTTGACCGTGCAACCCGAGCCATTACCGGTCTCCGGCTCCTTGCGTCCGAGGAGTTTGCTGGCAAGCCGGACGCTATGCACAACTTCGACTACCATTTGGATCAAACCATGCACGAGTTGCAGAGCCGTATGGAGCGCCTCCAATCCCTTGAAGCTGAGAACCAAGGCGTTAAGAAAGAAATGGAAATGAAAGCGACTATTATCTCTGGCCTAACCAGGGAACGTTCGAGTTTGCAGGGTGCCTCGCCTGTGGACATGGCTCTGGTGTCGCAACTGCGCGATCAGGTCGTCTCCCAAGAAAGACAGATCAACCACCTTCGCGACGCACATGAATCCCGCCAAAAGGAACTGTTGACTGAGATTGATTCTCTGAAGAGTCTTTTGAAGTCTCAGGAAAGCGCTACCCGGGCAATGGACGCTGGCGCTGAAGAGCAGGACAGAAAGATCGGTGCTCTGGAGGGAGAACTCACGGAGTGGCAAGAAAAGCACAAGAGTGCTTTGGAGTCCCTCCAGTCTTCGGAATCGCAGCTCACTACTACTCTCGCTGAGCTGGAGGGTGCTTTGGCTTCGGTCGCTGCTATGCGCTCTGAGCGTGCTGCTGCCGATACTGACTCTACTCAGAAGGAAGGCGCTGCTCGAGAGCTTGAGGGTGGCCGCGCCGAACAGCAGGAGCTTGTGGATAGCTTGATGAAAAACATCGAGGATCACAAGTCTACTATTGCTACCCAGCTTGCTACAATCGCCAGTTTGGAGAAGGCTCACTCCGATGCCCGGGATCAACTGGCTTCACAGACCGCTGTCGAAGAAGGAACCAATGCCGGCGCTGTTGACTTGGGTCTATCTTCCCGCATGGCCGAGCTTGAGCAGGAAATCTCTACCCATAAATCGGTTATTGATTCTCACAATGATAAGCTGGATACCCTCCAGGAATCTCACAAGCGTGAACTGGTTGAGTTGGAGGAGCGAACTAAGGCTGCTGCCCAGGCCGAGTACGATGCTCGTCTCCTCGAGAAAGATGCCGAGCATGAGCGATCCATGGCAACTTTGCAGAAAGATATTGCCGAGTCTCGGGACGAGCTGGTCAATCTACTTAAGGCTGTGTCGACTCTTCTCAACTCCGAGGTCTCAGCCGAGAACTTAACGGATCAGATCCAAGACGTTTTGAGCCAGAAACAACACTTCTCGGACAAGTATGCTGAGCTCATGGGCACCAATGAAGACCTTCGCAAGCAGCTGGAGGCCAGTGCGGACGCTGAGAGACGCCTAGACGAGATAGCCAAGAAGAACAATATCCAGGACTCCAAGGTTAATGAGCTGGCTCTCTTGGTGGCTACACTGGAGGATACTCTTCGCCAGAAGGATGAACAGGTCAAGAAGAAGGAAGCCCTGGTTGAGGAGATCACGATCGAGAAGCAGAAGAGCGTGCGTCTTGTGGAGGAGCTAGAGGAACAGATCACCAACAGCTTCGATCAGCACCACAACCGTCTGTCCGTCATTCAGCAGGAGCGTGATCAGGCCCTGGAAGATGCCAAGGCCAAGATTGTTATCTACGAAGGCGATATCGAGACTTACCAAGTGAGGATCGAGCAGCTTGAGCTTCAAATCAAGAACACCGGAAACTCCGACGGCTCCCACGATCGCAGCAGCTCCCTCACATCTAATCTCCGCAAGAGCTCTTCCGCTGCTTCTCTTCCCTCGCCTCCACCGGCGATCCCTCTCCCTCCCCTCCCTACCATCGCCTCCCACTCCAATGGTAGTGTGTCCCCGCCCAGCTCTCGACACGCCAGCAAAGAGCTGTCCAGCGTCCAGATGGTCGAGGACCAGGAAGCTCGAATTCGAACAATCGAGAAGCATCTGTACGCCGAGAAGCAGCTGACCGCCACCCTAGAAGAGGCCCTCGGTGACCTTGAAGCCCAGAGCACCAAGGTCAAGAGCGACTGCGAGGCCTGGAAGAAGAAGGCCTGGGCATTCGAGGATGAACTCACCTCCCTGCGCAAGGAACGCAACTCTGCCCGTCTGTCCCTCCAGGCCGTCGAAGAGGAGCGCAGTGCCCGCCGTGAAGCCGAGGCTGCGCGCGCTCAACTCGAAGAGCGCATGCTCGCCCTCAACAAGAAAAAGAAGAAGAGCACCCTCAACTGCTTCTAGGCGGTTTTGACTTTGACATTGCTCGAGCTTGAGCTTGCCCAGCATCAAAAGCAATCGCATTATCATCTGTCTTTATCGTTTTCTCTGCTTGTACACCTTTTTTTACCTTATTTGTTACTCTTCTCATCTTTTTTTTTTATCTTTCTTCGGCCCTTGTTTCATACCCCTTATTTTATTCGATTCCAATCAATTTCTCACCCATTTCCCTGTATTATGAGCTTTCACGTTTTTGTCACTTTCCCCTGTCGATTCCGTCAATACCTTGTCCTATAGCCCCTAACACACCCTGTTTCTATCTCCGTTTTTCACGTGTTCCTTTTTTTCTACTCGCACTCATGAATCCCTCATGACCAGGTGGTAGATCTTTTCATCGATCTTTTTATTTGTCTCTACGCTGAATAACCTCGATATTGTACATTCCGTCGGCTTTCAATCTTTGTGTCGCAATCCGAAGGATCTTGTCACCTTCCAGTCGCTTTTCTTCTCTGCTTGAATTTGATATGGATGCTCGCTCGTTCATATTGAGTTGCTTGTTTCGTACATTCTTGTCAATGAAGTTTATAATGTCGGCTTATTTTCTATCTCGTCCAGACTGGAGAGTAAACATTTGATATTTTATCATTTCTATTATTGGTTTATTCTCTAGTTCTTTTTGGTAACATCGTAGTTAGTAATATATCCTGTTGTTGCATTGCTTGCTATGGATAGATAGATTGAGGTAATATCTGATCCACACTTGGGTACCCTCTATTCCGCACATTGTGTTTCAAACTTTGCTTCGAAGGTTCCTAATAACTAGAGCGAAGAGTGCCAAACTCTAGACGCAGCAATGATATATCTCATGTTCATATGTGACCTCCGCTCATCATCATCCAACTATTCCACCTAACTCTTGTCGTGTCAAATTTGTCCATAGTAACATTAACCCTTCAAAATTATCCGTCATACTCAATTTCTTCGTTAAGGAGGAACGCGGACACGGTCTGTGACGATCTGCATATATGATATCCCGGTCTGGAATTATGTGGATTGGCGGGGGTGGGGGTGTATTGAAGCCATGCAATCCGCTCAGGGCGTTATCAACAGACGGCAAGGCTTGGGTTTTGCTGTTATCTAGAGAAATTGTTCCATCGCGGCCATGGGAGACTGGCTGCGGTGATGCCAATGCTCGTGGGGCCCTGCGCCGGGGAGGACAGTTGGTATCCTGAGCCCGGAATCCTGAAGTATCCAAAGTTATTCGTTTGTTTACATACCGTCCGCTACCAAGAGGACGCGTTGAGAGAACCTGGCGGAGGATGGGGTCTTCCATGGTTTTATCAGGGTGGTAGAATCGGACATGTCTGCAGAGTGAAGTTAGTCTACCGAAAACGTTAGGTGTACTTTAACCGGATTAATACCGCAGTAGGTCGTCTGGTCCAGGATAATTGTGTTGTTGGCCTGGGCAGAAGGGGCACAGATAACTTGGGCCATGTACCAGCCCATGATGCATCATCTCGTTCGTGCGCTTGAATCCTTTGCCTCCCTGGTCACATGCACAGCCTTCTGAGGGGCAGAAGTGAGGGCGATCTTGCGAATGTACCTCAGCATGGAAGCTGTTTTGTCTCGGTAGTAAGCAGCAATTCAGATTGGATATTATCGAATGCACTAGAGGCGCCGTTGGACTTACGTGAGAAGGAATTGGGTTTCGAAGGGTGACGCCATGCAACCTGGATGAGTACATTTGTAACCGTGGTTCTCTTTTCCAGCGGAGGCTTCCACGGTCATAGGCTCTAGAGGCTCAGAAAGATTCGATATGGAAGGCTGACTCGATAGAGATACTGTCGAAGAGGTACTTGGCCCGGGTGAATAGCGTCTCGCTGCTTCTGCAATCTCCAGGTTGTTTGGTGCTATGCAGTCTAGCAAGATTCCATCGCCCTCCCAAGTATCAGTCACGGGCTTTGAATTCCGTTCCGCTGTAGAACAAAACGCGGAGGGCACGTCACGGAAGCGATCGTGTACAGGGCGTGGATTAGTGTTCAAACCTGGGTCAAATTTCGGCCTTGGGTCAACAGGTACCTCCTCACTGCCCAGGTGAGAATATTAGTCTCGTCGTCGATATGGAGATTCATAAAAAGACATGATACGTACACGAAAAGGGAGTGGTCGAAGCGCTGAATAATTGACTGACCGTGCTGTAATTGGAATTGCAGGATCTCCCTGGAATGTATATTTAGAACTCCACTTCTGATTCTTGAGTGGCGATTCTGTTCAAGTCGGGTTTTACAAGAGTTGATTTCTTGGAGCATCTTTTGCATGAGAAGGCTGTACTCATCAAGATCGGATGGCTCCTCATTTTTCGAATCACCGTTTCTCCAGGGGTTGCCGTAAGAATCAGCAGACATGTTTATTGTGACATGGTTTGGCGTAGCCATAATCTTGGTGTCATTTTTCTGTTTTTCTTCTAGAAGAGATTTTATAAAGTCACGCTGTTCTCGGAGCATTGCCGGGGCGTTGTTGCTGCTTCATGATAAGAACCAGATATATCATAAGAAACGTGTAGGGTGACTCACCTCCGTATTTGCCCAGCGTACATTATAACATTTAGCAAAAGGAGCATCGTTGACTTCAGCCTCTTCAAATTGGCCTTAAGCGGATCCAGACTTGGTTCAAGTAGTACTTGTCGAAACCTTTCGGTTATTTGCTGGAGTCGGGTCTTTTCTGAACAGTCGTTATACTTGGTCATGGCACGGATTTGCTTTAGAACATCTTCGCATTGGATCAACACATCCCTTAGGGTTTCGAATGCGGTCTTTGAATATAGTTTTGCCTGTTCATCTTCTTTCAAGCTCTCTCCTAGCTCGCGTAGAATGGCAGAGGTAATTGCAACATCGCTGGATAGATTTTGGATGGATTCATTGGCACCTTTAAGCTCCCGATAGAAAGAAAAGAGCTTGACCGACAATTTAGTACCAAGGTCAGCAACCTGAATGATGCTAGCCGCGATCCCCAGAGCCTCCAAGCCTGACATGGTTCGGATTTGGCGGTTTCATCTGTTAGGGGTGAGATAAAGAAGTGAAATCAAAAATTCTAAGTGATTTCTGTTGAGGCTGAGCAAGGCCCTGTGCAGCCAGCCAAGGAAGGCGCAGCGGACTCTCGGCTGAATTACTATACAACATAGTTAACTAGTTAACTAGTTTGTGTATGTATGTACGAGAGATATAGCCATGCAGAATAGTTTAACCCTGATCATATTAAATTTATATCTTTGTTTCCTGAATCTCTAATCCATAATCACTAATCCCTAATTCTTAATTCTTAATTCTTAATTCTTAATAACTTATCTCTAATAGTGCCGAAGTCGTAGCATATTTGCATCACATGACGCGTATACCCCACGTGTCTTTAAGCTTGTCGCAACAGCTCCAATCTCCAAGCTCCAAAAACAATTCATCATGGGCCTCCAACGGTCCAATGTGACAATAATCCACCCGGATCTGGGTATTGGAGGTGCCGAGCGGCTAATAATCGACGTCGCCCTAGCCCTTCAGAACCGAGGCCACCGCGTAACGATCTACACCTCGCACCGCGATAAGGCGCACTGCTTCGACGAAGCGCGCGATGGCACGCTGGACGTCCGCGTGCGTGGAAACACCCTCTTCCCTGCCCATGTCTGTGGCCGACTCCACATCCTCATGGCTGCGCTGCGCCAGCTACATCTTACCGTCTCACTATTAGGCGAGCTTGGGACAAGGGGGACACCGGATACAACTACCATAGCCACCAACGATGAGGAGGACGGCGATGATATCTTCATCGTGGACCAGTTGCCAGCTTGCGTGCCATTTTTGAAGTCTTTCGGCCGCCCGCGCCAGTCCCGACGTCAACGCATTCTCTTCTATTGTCATTTCCCAGATCAATTGCTCGCACGCCGAGATGAGGGTGGTTCGCTTCTTCGCTTGGCGAAGGTCCTATACCGGTTTCCATTTGATTGGTTTGAAGGATGGGCGATGAGCGCGTCGGATCGGGTTGTTGCGAATTCTAAGTTCTCCCGTGGGGTCGTGCGTGACGTTTTTGGCTCGGATAAGTTGGGTGACGTGGAGGTGGTTTATCCATGTGTTGATATGGACTCCGCGGTATCAGTGCCAGAGAAAGTGGAGGAAGAACCCCTCTGGGGTGGGAAGAAGATCTTGCTCAGCATCAATCGCTTCGAGCGCAAGAAGGATATGGCACTGGCGATTCGCGCCTATAATGGACTAGGAGCGGAGAAGAGGAAAGGGACGCGGCTGGTGATTGCTGGTAAGAACTTTTGCATGAATTTTTGATTTATATAAATTCTAACATGGAATTTTGCAGGCGGTTACGATAATCGTGTCCACGAGAATGTTCACTACCACCAAGAGCTGGATGAGCTCGCGACCAGTCTCAGGTTGAAGACCGCAACCTCCAAGACAGTCGTATCTGCGCTTTCAATCCCCGACGACATTGATGTCCTTTTCCTTCTTTCTGTTCCCACTGCATTCAAAGATACCCTGTTGGCGCAATCTAAGCTCCTTCTCTACACACCGATCAACGAACACTTTGGAATTGTACCCGTTGAAGCAATGCGTGTTGGTCTCCCAGTACTAGCATCTAATACTGGCGGTCCATTGGAGACGATTGTCGAGGGTGAAACGGGCTGGCTCCGCGACGCTCACGCAGATGAAGAGTGGACTGCTGTGATGGACAAGGCACTTTACGGACTGAGTCGGGAGGACCTCCAGCGTATGGCTCTTGCTGGCAAGAACAGGGCGCAACAAGAATTCTCACTCACTGCTATGGGTGATAGGCTAGAAGAAGAGATCTCCACCATGCTCAAAGCTGAAAGGAGACCATTCAATGGGTGGCAGCAAGTGTTTGTCATTCTCGCATTGGTTGGGGCTGTTTTTGCAGTGATGGCTGCAATTTTACTTCGAGCGATATGATCCATAGTCCATGCATTTAAATCTGTGTACTTTATATTAACTACTGTTTCCCCATTTAAACTAGTTCCCTTATCCCCTGTACTGAATATGGTTCACCCCCAGCTTCACATAACCACTCTCACATATCAGTCACATGACCTCGTGTTTTGTTCGCGGTGACGTCGCGTCCCTCTATCAGATATCTATTCTTAATCGCCGGCCCTAGTGGCATTGGGGTCTCTCAACATGCCCGAAATAATAAACCTCCTATCCTCCGATCCTCCTACTTCACCAAAGCCCCAGCCACCAAAGCCGCGACAGCCAGCCGAACTTCCGTCGCGACGTCCATCCCACCAGCTTAATTCGATTTCGTCAGACCCGTTCGATACATCCCTGTTCGACTATGAAGACGTCTTCGACAAGCCCGCCAAGAAACGGCGAGTGAGCGATCAAGACATTTCTTCTCTGCAACAAAGCACCCCTCCAAATGAACCTCGAGCTCCAGCTTCTGCGGCGGAGCCTTGGTTCTCGATCTCCGATGATGATTTTGACCTGTCGCCAGTAAACGCCGCGGTTCAGAATAAAGCATCCCAATCGCGTGTTGAAGAGTCGGATCCAATTGTCTTTACCTCTTCGGCCCCCGTTCCTTTGCCAAAGCCACCACCGCGGAAAACAAATCTTTCAACCCGGGATATTCTTGCGCTTGCTGATGATGACGTACTATCAGACCCCATGAAACCTCCGCCCTCGAGTTTCCGAGGGCGTAGTGATATCGATGAATTCAGCGACCCGTTTGCTCTGCCAGAGTTTTCTGAGCTATTAAAAAAACCAACTGCTTCCAATACTATCTTCTCCGAGTCAACTGCTCGCCTATTATCTCGTCTTGGTGATGAACAAACTTCAGGCCCTAAAGCAAAGTCTGGTGCTCGAAAACAGAAAGACACCAGCTTGAAATCTACGGCAGTGGAGGTCCTCTCTGACGACGACATTGACGAACCAGTAGCACCCCGGAAAACAGCAAAGAAGACAAGCAAAGTTACTACCGCCGAAAGGGAAGCAAAGGCCAAAGCACGCGAAGACGCAAAGCTACAGAGAGAGCGAGAACGCAAGCTCGAGAAAGAGCGGAAGCTGAAACTCAAAGAGGAGAAAGCACAAGAGAAACAGCGAGCAGCCGATATCGCAAGCGTCAACAAGCTGAAAGTGAACAAAAAGGATTCCACGCCCGAGATGATCGTCGACATGGCTACATCTCTCGAAGACAGCAGCGTCGGCACTCAAACCGTCGAGTTCATGAAACGCCTCGGCGTCCAACATACATTCTTCACAAGCGCAATTCCCAATGTAGTCAAATGGCGTCGCAAAATGAACGCCACGTACAACAGAACCCTACGCCACTGGGAACCCTGTCCATCCTTCATCCAAAAAGAGGACCACGTGCTGTGTTTGCTACCAGCGCAAGAGTTCATCAACATGATAACCCCACCACCAGACGACGAAGAAAGAGAAACCCTAGAAATCCACGTCCTCCGGATAAAAAGCGCCTATCCAGACTGCAAACCCATCTACCTAATCGAAGGGCTGGCCGCGCTAATGCGCAAAAACACAAACGCACGCAACAGAGCCTTCCAAGCCGAAGTCCTGCGCCAACTGGCCGAAACAACGGCACCAGAACAACAAGAACAAACGACAGCGCGCAGAGCTCGAAAACCAAAGAAAAAGCCCGACACGACGCCCCTCGTCGACGATGAGACTGTCGAAGACGCTCTGCTCGAATTGCAGGTCACGCATTCTTGTCTCATTCACCACACGACCGCGCCAGCCGATTCCGCGGAGTGGATTAAGAATTTCACTGAGCATATTTCGACAGTGCCATACCGTCGTGAACGACAGGAGGCACACAATGCTGCTTTCTGTATGGATACCGGACAGGTGAAGACGGGCGTTGATAAGCAGGATACTTTTATCAAGATGATCCAGGAGGTCAATCGCGTAACGGCTCCTATGGCTTATGGGATTGCGGGACAGTATCCCTGTGTTGCGGACTTGACTCGTGGAATGCGGATGCATGGTGCTATGATGTTGGAGAATATCAAGGTAGGTTTCTGCTATTTTCCCTTGTTCAAATATACTGGCTTTCTCTTTCTATATTAGAATCTCTTGCTGACTGCTATAGAAATCCGCGAACAAAAATGGCTCCTTGACGAACGCGCGCATTGGACCCGCTGCCAGTAAGCGGCTGTACAAAGTGTTCACTGGACTTGATCCGAGTTCGACGGACATTTAGGTTTGGTTTTGTCTTCATGCTTAATTTTGGTTATGATTGCCATTTTTAGCTTGTCCTACTGTATGCCTCTCGCATTCTGGATATTGCATCCAATTGGCATGTCGGATTATCCTTTGGTTGATTACTACTTGGGCTTCTAATGCCCTGCCTCTCCTCCCATTTGGTTGGGAAATTGGATATTATCCTCCAAATGAAGTAGATGTCTTCTTGGTTTATGGGGCATATTGCTCTCGACGAAATGCCAGTTGGTACAGGGTAGTCCGAGTAGTACACCACCACCTACAAATGCAGCTATTGTTTTTCTTTTTTTTTTTTTTTTCAAATGTAAATGTTATATTTGAACATCAATATAAGATGCTTGAAAGTGCCGAAATGATAAAAAACTGCCTAGCTATATGCAAATGCGAAACCGAATCCATGTGTAGAACCCATTATCAACGCCCATATAAAACGCAGATATCAAACAGATTAGACATTAAAAACAAACCACAAAATCAAACCTTTCCTTGCTGCATAACCAACTAAACAACAACCCCCCTCCTCTTCCACCCCCTCCAAGCAGCCAACCAAGCCAAAACGGCAACCCAAACACTAACCGTGCAACCAACAGCCCAGAACCCATAGCATCGCCATCCATGGCACTGACCATCAGACAAGCCATCACCGTCGCCACGATCCATGGCATTCTGATAAGCAGCGGAGTAGACAACACCCCAGAGCGCGGCACCAGCCGCAGGCATCATGGCAACGATACCCCAGTTGGTGGCGAAGTTCTCGACGCCCCAGACTACGGAGATGATGATT